CCAAATTTTTTTTTTTTTTAAAACCTTAAATTTTTAAAATTTTTTTTTTTTTTTTTTTTTTTTTTTTTGTAGAAAATATCTGAAATTAATCTAAAAATGTCAGAGTTTCTTTGAGCAAATTTTGACTTTTTCAACTCAGCATTTCTAATATTTATGTCAACATTTCTGGATTTTTCTCCTTTTTTTTTGGCAGATATTTACTTTTCCTTTCTGTTTTTCTGTCTGTAATGATCCTAATATGCTGCCATATGTTTGCTACTTTCTGATAACATTTATGCAATAAATAATCGTTAGATGTGGTGACTCCTGGGCTAAACTTTTTAACTTTTCCTTTCAATCTCTTGTGCCACCCCATGATGAAATGCCACCCTGGGCAGTGTGCCATAATCTGGTTTTATTGTCAGGAAACTTATTTTAATAGACAAATAATTTCTCTCCTTTCCCCCATCAGTTCGACTTGGAGACGATCAAAGACATGTACCTGGAGAAGTACGACGTGTCTCTGAAGGACGCCATCCGGGACGAGTGCAGCGGCGACTTCAAGCGCCTCCTGCTGGCCATTTGCCACTAGCAGCTGCAGGAGTTTCCATCTAGCCGACTGAAACTCCTCAGTCTCTGCTATTATAATTAATCTCCCTTATACCAGGATCCATTTTTAGCTCTTAACATTTAGAACAACACTAAGATTTCTGTGTTTGTAGTAAAAGTGAAACCCCGCTGATGTCACAGTGATGTCATAAATCACCTCTTCACTGCTGCTACCACTTATGCAATCACGTCATCTGGAATGAAGTTTCTGTTTCTTCTTGAAGGTTTTGACTGTTAATGAAGGAACTATCATGAAAGAAACAATGAAGTCACTTTTGAAATGATCATAATTTGCTTTATGTTGCGTTTTTTTTTCTATCTTGAACTACAACACTGCAAAAACACAAAATCTTACCAAGTCATTTTAGTCTAGTTTCTACTGCAAATATCTTAGTACACTTAAAATAAGACAAAACTAATTTACAACCAAATGTTTAAAAAGATTTAGGACTTTGATTTAAGTAAATAATTTCTTTAATATTGTCGAAAAAGTACTAGTTCTACTGGTAGATAATTTTACTTATAACAAGACATTTTTTTATGTTATAAATGAACTAATCTGCCATTATTTACTGAAAATAAGCTCCTAATTTTACAGAAAACTTACTTGTAAATTAGTTTGTCTTATTTCAACTGCACTAAGATAGTTGCACTATAAACTAGACTAAAATTACTTGGTAAGATTTTGTGCTTTTGCAAAGCAGGCCTTGACAAATCCAAGTACATTTCACCTGATTAAAACCTTGTTTTGTATTTTCTTACTAACAGAGATTAATATACTTACAGGGCCAGTGCAGACGTTATACTGTATTAACTGTTTAGATTATCTGAATTTTAACACGGAGATAATCTGATGTTTTATTTTATTTGTGTCAATTTATGGCAGCTTAAATTTCAACATTAATAGACACAATAAATACTGACAACATAAACACTTTGTAGCCAAAGAGTTTTAGCCTAATAAAGTTTACTGTATAATCATTCTTTTTGGGTTTCTTTTATTTCTTAGTCCAGATTTCACAATTTTTACCAGCTTGACTGCTTTTTAAAGCATCTCTATAATCATAATATAATCGAAAAGTTAATTTGTTCAATTCAAAAACACACAGGTGTTCATTTCTGGCCTTTATTTGTGTTCATTTTGGTGATTATGGTTCATAAAATGCACACTGACAATAAAACAGATTAAATGAAGATTCTGCTTTATTTACATGTTAATGAATCACAGTCAAACTAATCAGCTTCCAAGTGTTTATTGTTATCAAATTTTCCAAAAATTAATTCAGGGCTTTTAAATATGGCTCCGACATTTTCAGATTTATACAGAAGCGTATTGCTATCGGGGAGGAAAATAATTATTCGACGCTATCACGTTATAACGTGACAGTTGTGTTGTATGACCGTGACTATATGTTGTATGACCGTGACTATATGTTGTATGAACGTGATGGTTTCATTTCCGGAGATTATGCTTTTAGTGCAGGCATAAAAATAAGGTTATAAATTAAAGACGCGAATTAAGACGAAAAAACGAACAAAAGTAACAAAACTGAGGAGTTGCTTTCACTGACGCTTGTGTGTATTTCGGGTAAGATTTTATCTAGGTTAATGATTAAAAAAATAGCATGACATGCTGTTTTAAACTTTATCTAAAGCAGTTTTAGATTACAAAACAGTCTAATTGTCAACTATAACAAACATTGCAGTAAATATCTTAGTTTACTTAGTTTAAAAGAATCGATACAAATCAACGCTTCCCTTATAGTTGTCACAAGTACGACATTCAGTGAACGCAGCCCTTAGCTCCGCCCCCTTCTCCCAGACATGCCTGGTGTAGTGTCGCATTTCGCCTCTTCTCTCTGTTTGTATTTCGATCAAACGGGGAGTTGTATTTCAAATTAACATCATAACAAACCCTGGAACATAACCAGGCTCTATTTGAGCATCTGGACTCAGGTGAAGGTAGGTTTTTCTGCGTGTTTTACCGACCGCCTTCCTCCGTTTTCCCCCGTATTTTGATGGTAATTACGGTGATTAGCATCCATGTTGGTTGTAGGTAATTGAAACCTCTGCAAGAAGGAAGGGTTTGCTCTTTTTATAGGTTTAATCACGTTATGCGGATGCTTTATAATTTCTGTCATTTTAAATATAAATTTTATAAAATGTATCCAGAGAATACATCTTTATAGAAAAAGATGTAGGATTAAGGATTAAGCCTAGTTGTTATGTTTTATCCCGGTTGGAACTGACGCAAATAAATTGGTGTAATAACGCGTCAAATATGTGACACTAATTCATCTTTACATGTGTATAAACAGTGTATTACGCCCTTGTTATAATCCGAAAACACAGTTCTTGTGATGTAACATTAAATCTGGTTGCTTCAGTTAAAACTGGCTTCAACAGTTTGATATCCAGATGCCAAACACTTGAACACACCACTTCAGAACAGTTTGTGTCCAGGATGTGTGGGGTCTGCTGCCCTTTTCCTGACCCCAGTCCCACACAGGTCCTGGATGGAGGAAAGCATGGGCGCTGCACCAAGAACATCTTTCTTCTTCACAAAATGTAAACAAAAATAGAGTAGCATCAGATTTTAGCAGGATTTCTCTTTTGTCTTTGGTAAAAGACCAAAGACAAAAGCTATAGCATTAGCAAAGGCTTTACTGCCAGTCAGTAATAATTGATTTCTTGATACTTTGTTTTTAGGTCATGTGGAGCTTTTTTCACCGCTGGAAAGTTAGGTAGTCCATAACGCGACAGCCTGTTGCGTTTGTTTTGGTTGTATTTACTCAGAATGCCCTCTGTTGTAGTCCACTTCCTGCTTTTGGAGCTGTTTCTGGTCCGCTTTTTGTTCACATGCATTCGACCTTCACCATAGTTCACTTTAACTCACCAAGACCGAGGTTTGTTTGCACCCTAAGTATCCTAATCCTGAATTTTAGTATTTTCTGTAATTTCCCAGTTGAGATTAAGATCTAACCTGGTTGGTTATTTTATTGTGCAAATAAACAACCAACTATAATCATCAATGCTAAAAATAAAATGTAGACATTTTAATACAATAACCAATAAGTAGAAGACTTTCCTGTTCTTTTCTAATTTTTCTGATCTCATGCATGATTCTCCCCGTTGTAATAAATATGTGATGTGACCTCATGTGGCTGTGGATTAATAAATTATTAACTTTTCTATAACTGTGGATTAAGTCATAGTACATAGGCTTTACTGCCAGTCAGTAATCATTGATTTCTTGATACTTTGATTTTAGGTCATGTGGAGATTTTTTCACCGCTGGAAAGTTAGGGAGTCCATAAGTAAAGACATGAGAGGAAACTGTGCATTTATTGTTTTATTGGGAATGCAGTGAACTTGAAGTATCTCTGTGTTTAAAGAAAACACAATTAAACACGTTTTTTTTTTTTTTGGTGAATTACATCATGAAATATGCTGCTCTGTTTGTTGAGACTGTTAGTTGCTTTATTACAAGAAACATCTGAATAACTAAAAGTGGATTAAGTAATTGTTGGAGAATCACAAACTCATAGTTAACAATCTTTAAATCCCTTTAAATATGCTTTCATTTTTGTCAGGCTGTTATATATTTGTTTTTTCTCATCCATTCAACCTAATCAGTTGGAATAAAGTGTGTCTTTTTGAACATGAAACGAGTTAAAAACCCATCGTTTGACTTTTTACGTCATCATTTCACTGGAATCACAGCATGAAGAGTCATGTTGCAGTTCCTCATAATAAAGGTGGATCCACTTTTTGAAAATGATCTGCTAATTACAAGGTCTTCTCTTAATTACAAGTTACAGATGTAATAATTGCATGATCTGTTTCTTGTTGCTATGGAAACAGATTCAGTCCCCCCCCGCCCCCCCCCCCCCAAAAGCAGCTAGTTGTTAAACACCGAAATTGCACGAGCCACCTGCAATGTATTTAATGCTGGTGTTCACCGGGGTAATGAATGTGAATTTCTTATTTCCTTTTTAAAAATTCAGTTTCTGTCATTAAAACTGTCTCTTTTATTTGTATAAAAGGTGCAGAAGCATGTAAAAACCATCCCTGATTTGTTAATTATGAAAAAAAAAATTAAATGGAAAGATGTGTCCATAAACAGAGTGTTAGTTTAACGTCTAGCAGAGGTAAACATTGCAAGTAGGTCTTGGAATCCGCCTCCCTGTCGAGTCCGCTTGTCGGTTTCAATTATAGACATAATATAAATATATTAATATAATATATACTCTTATATTATGTCTATGGTTTCAATAACATGAGACGTATTTGCGTGATGACGTGATGTACGCGCCGTAGTTTGATTTCGAACGTTTCCAAGATGGCATCGCGGCACCAGGAACCGCTCCAATGTATGTTTGCATTTAACAAAAAAGACGATACTGGGGCCACTGGCAACATATGCAGAACTTTAATGACAATAAAACGTTGTCATTAATATCCTCAAATAGATGACTAGCACGAATGTAAAGTGTTTGATACGCTGCTTAGCGACGGCGGTGACTTCCGGAGGAGACTAGCTTCGAGCATAGCGTCTTCCGCTATGGTTTCAACTATAAGAAATTATTTGATAATTTTGTTTTGTCACTATGAAATAATTGCTTGTTTACTTATTGTTTATTAAACATGATTCATTTCATAAATGCTAAAATAATCCATTACCTCGGATCCTGGACCTTCTTTGTGCCGCCATAAAACAATGCTATTTTAATTATTACAGTTTATTATTATTGTTTTAAAGATAGTTCTACAAATGGAAAATAAGAATATAAAAATTCTTATATGATATCTATCAACAGGTGAATTATCTGTAATTTTTTAAACAATAATAATATAAATTAGCACAAACAAAATAGGGATGTGTGATATATCGGTGTTAACATCAGCATCAGTCAATGTTGGGGATTTCTCTCCCCCACCATTTTTTTCCTTTAAATTTGTTCAATAAATATTGAATGACTGTTGGTCCAATAAGAAAAACTGGCGATATTAACAACTAGTGTTTATTTCCATCTTGATGCCCTTTATGTTTCAGGAGGAGGCAAGGGTTGAGCATATGTTTTTTATTTGGTCATGTAACTGTGATAATGATGCAAAATAGGATTGTAAGATATTTAACTGAAGCCGAGAAGCAATGTCTTTTGTATTGTCACTTTTTACTTTGTTTAAAGGTTAGGAAAATATATTGAATATTGGTTATCAGCCATCATGGCAGAGTTATCGGATATCATTTCAGTAAATATTTCTCTTCTCTGTGCCCTGGTTAGAT